GTGTTGTTCGAGCTAGGTCAAATTTAACCTCCTATTAAGGCGGTTTTAATATACGTAAGTTTCTATTACTTTGATGTTATTACTCTGATTACATGATTGGAGAAAGTTACAAACTTTGGGCATTGGCTGGTGTTCCAGTCCCAGTCTATCTAGTCCCTTCATTATTCGACTTGGAGAGTATTGAGAAGTCAGGCAATGAAAGAGAAAGCAGTCCCTCCTTCACATATTTTGACTCAAAGTGTCCATTTCTTCGCGTTGTTAAAAACCTCTTTGATAAAACTCTAATTGGACAAATATCAAGTGAGGGAAAAAGAGTACGACTTGGGGGGCGCTTATTCCTTTTGGAAGCTGAAGTATTTGAGGTGGGTGATGTACCAACTTTTTGGTAATTGTTTTCCTTACATCATCTCTAGTTGGAAAGAACCCTTGTTTGCTTTGGCTGTAATTTTGTACGGGCCGTCTGAGTTTGTTCCCAGTTTGCCTTCATGTGGATCTCTGCTTACTTGAGTTTTGGCTTTGAGTACGTAGTCCCCGACTTTGAGCGGTCGGACCTTTGCTTTCTTGTTGTAGTAACTTTTCGCTTACTGCTTTTGGGTGACCTTCCTTATGTATACCATATCTCTATTCATCGATCTCATCGAGTTCTTGCCTTTTACTCTCATCATTACTGGTACTGCTTTCATGGGAGTATCTTAGGCTGGGTTATCCAACTTCGACTGGTATGACTGCTTCGGTCCCATAGGCCAGAGAGTAGGGTGTCTCTTCTGCGCCTTTTTTTGGGGTGGTTCTATACACCCATAATACTTCTGGGAGTATTTCCGGCCACAGTCCTTTGGCATTTCTGAGCTTTTCTTTCATGAAGTTTAATATGGACTTGTTGGAGGATTTTGCCTTCCCATTACCCGCAAGGTGATACGGGATTGAAAATATCCTCTTAATATGTCATTTCTCAAAGAATTCGGTGGTTTTCTTTTTCGTGAACCAGAGACCATTGTCGCAGCTGATCTCTTTGGGTAGGCCAAATTGGCAGATGATGTTTCTCCATATGAAGGTGATTACCTCTTATTCGCGTATTTGGGCGAACGCTCTTGCTTCCACCTATTTAGAGAAATAGTTAGTTAAAACCAAAAATCATACATTACCTCGCCTTGCTGACGGAGGGAGGGGCCCACAATGTCCATTCCCCATTTGATGAATGGCCACAAAGAGGTGACTGAGTGGAGATGTTTGTTTGCTTGGTGAATTATTGGGGCGTATTTCTGACATTTCTCGCATTTCTTCACAAATTTGGAGGCATCTTTTTTTATGGTGGGCCAGTAGTATCCTGGCCGTATGAGACACCTAACGAGTGCTCGATCACCGAAATGAGCGTTGTAATGGTCTTCATGGACTTCATAGAGGATGCGATCGATTTGTTCGGACCAAATATTTTGCCAAAGGGCCACTGAATGCCCTATTGTATAAGTCGTTGTGGAGGAGGTTGTATCCTGCATTCTTAGTTTTTTGGCTTCCTTTTTGTCATTTGGGTGTAAGGCTGGCATGTGGGCCGGTTAGGCTCGGGCTCGGCCCAGACCCGCGAGCCCATATGGGTAGTGGGCCTAAATGGGCCTAACTGTTTAAGCTCGGGACCATGTGGGGTGGGCTCCTAAGTGGGCCAGTTCACTGAAAAAGCCCGTGAGGATCGGGACCGTTTGGGCCCAGGACCGGCTGCTAAGTGGGCTGGTTCAACCGGTCCTAAACGGGCTCAAACGGGCCCAACGGCAATTTTTTTTTTAAAAAAGTTATTCCAAATTTTTTTTAGTCGTTACTAAAGTTTAAAAAATAGTCATTGGCCTACAAAAATAGTCGTTTGCTATTTCTAAAATAGCCATTTAACCCCTTCCCCTCCCCTAACTTTGTTTTAACCCCAAACCTTTTATAATTGCACATTTTCCCTATTTTCAACTATAAATACCCCCTCATTCTTTCAGTTTTCTCACAAAATAATCAATCTCTCTCATTTCTCAAACTCAAATTGAAGTATTCAAGTCTTCGCTCATCTCTCATTTCTCAAACTCAAATTCTTAATTCAAGTTAAATCATGACCGGTGAATCTAGTGTGCAGGCATTTGTTTGGGAACACTTTAATGTGGTAGAAGAAAATGAAGAAGTTTACATAATAAAGTGCAAGAATTATGGTCGAGTCTTCACTCATCGTCCAAAGTTGGAGGGCACATGTTGTTTAAGGAGGCATATAAAGAGTTGTCTTGCTCGTTCTCCAAACATTCGTATTTAAGATTTTAAGTTGATTTGAGACAATTTGTGTTATTTTAAAATTATTAGATGTATTATGCTTAATGTTTAAGTGTGTTAGATTAATTTGAAGTATTATGTTGAAGGAATTGAAATTTAATTTGAAGTATTAAATGTAAATTTTAATTTGCAAGTTTGATACCAAGTTAATCTTACAAGAAATTGCCTTAGATAAAAAAATTTAAAAAAAATAGGCCAAGCCCACTTAGGCAATTTCTTGTAAATTATATATATATATATATATATATATATNCCCACGAAGTCAGGGACCATTTAAGCCCAGCCCACGAAGCCGGGGACCATTTAAGCCCAGCCCACGAAGCTCGGTCCCACTTAGGACCGGCCCACGAGGCCCGTTTAAGCCTGAGCCCGGCCTGTTTGCTAGCCTTATTTGGGTGTGTGTCGTGCTACAGGAAGCGATGATACGATTGTGCCAATCCCAAGTTAAACTTACAGATCTTACCTCGATTTGGTCTATCGATGAATTGAGGAGGAGGACTATGCTTTTATCCCCGGTCATGATGCTTTTGGTGGTTGCCGCTAACTTGGCAATGATGTCCGGTTCGACATTCTGAGCACGCGAGATCTGGTCGAGCTAGGATTCATCAAACTTGGGTAGCAGCTTATGGATCTCAATCTGATATTTTTGCAACATTTGCTCTTTGATTTGGAAAGTTCCTGTGACTTGGTTGGCTACAAGCTGTGAGTCATAACGGAGCTTCAACCACTTCACCCCATACTTGAGTGATAGCCTTAATCCGGCAATTATGGCCTCATACTCGGCCTAGTTGTTAGTCATATTTGGGCATTTTATGGACTGGCAAATTACTTTGCCAGTAGGGACCTCGAATATGAGTCCCAGTCTGGATCCGGAAGCATTGGAGGCGCCGTTGGTTTATAGGATCGTGAGGTCTTGTGTTTGGAGAGAATCTTGGATGGCTTCCTTCTCGACCTCACGCATTATCTTTGCCCTGAACCGTCAACAAAGTCGATGAGCACTTGCAATTTAATCGCTGTTCTCGACTGATATATGATATCGTGCTCGCTAAGCTCGATGGCCCACTTGTCCAGCCTCCCCGATAATTCAGGTTTGTGTAAAATGTCTCTCAGAGGAAAGGTGGTGAAGACTGAGATAGGGTTGCACTATAAATATGGTCTAAGATTTTGTGAAGCTATGACTAGTGCCATGGCCAGTTTCTCGAGGTGCGGGTACCTCATTTCGACGTCGACGATGGTATAGCTAATGTAATAAATAGGAAATTGCGTACCTTTACTTTCTCGGATCAGGATTGCACTTACTGCCACTTTGGAGAGGGCGAGGTAGACGAGGAGATGTTCCTCGGGTTCAGGATTCGAGAAAAGAGTTGGTGATGACAGGTATGCCTTTAGCTCTCGTAAATCTTGTACGCACTCGGGCATCCACTCAAGCACATTATTGTTTCAGTATACGCCAAAAAATCTGTGGCATCTGTCAGAAAACTGCGAGATAAATCTTGATAAGGCGGCGATTCGACCAGTCAACCTTTGGACTTGTTTCTTAGTAGTCAGTTACTCCGGTATCACTTTGATAGCTTTGATTTGGTCTGGGTAAACTTCGTTCCCCCATTGTGACACTAGGAAACCCAAAATCTTCCCTGAGGTTACGCTAAACACGCACTTCTCTAGGTTTAGTTTCATTTCATACTGTCTCAGTATGTTGAAAGCTTCCTTGAAATTGTCGACATGGTCCTCCGCCATTACGGATTTGACCATCATGTCATCGATATATACCTTCATCGTCTTGCCAATCTTTGAACATTTTTGTGACCATTCTTTAATAGGTGGCTCATGCGTTCTTCAGTTCGAACGGCATGACCCTATAATAATATGATCCTCGGTGGGTGATGAATGTAGTTTTCTCCTGGTCCTCTTCTTTAATAGATATCTGGTTATAGCCAAGTACGCATCTAGAAAACTCAGCAGCTCGCGCCCGGCTGTCGCGTCGATGAGTTGGTCGATATGTGGTAACAGGAACGAATCCTCCGGTCATGCTTTGTTTAAGTCTGTAAAGTCTAGACACATCCTCCATTTCCCGATTTTCTTTTGACCATTACTACATTGGCGATCTACTTGAGGTATTTTGACTCCCTGGTGGGGCCATTTTCTAGTAGCTTCTCCACCTCCTCATGGACGGCATCATTGATAGCGGGTTGAATTTTCATCTAACCTGCCTCATCGAAGGGTAGAATGGATCGACATTTAATTTGTGTGTGGCAATCTCCTTGGGGATGCCCAGCATATCTGTATGGATGAAGGAAAACAAATTTGCATTAGTTATTAAGAATTGACTAAATTTACCTGGTTCTCGGAGTTTGCAACCGATATAGGCCTTTTTGCTGGAATCATTGGGGTCTAATTGGATGGGGTGAAGGTCCTTTATAGTTGAGTCTGCGGTTCGATCTTTTCGGGGTACATGATGACGTCTCAGGTTTCTTCTTGCTTCGACCTCGACTTTGTTGATTGTTATGCCTTTTTTCCTTATCTTTATTCTGCTGGGTCGTCGTGCTGTCTAAGGTGATGTGCTAGAATTCCCGAGATATACGATGTTCTCCCTGTATGCTGAATATCCCCCAAAGTGTTGGGAATTTGATTACTTGGTATAAGCTGGAGGGGACGACCCTCATGGGATGTATCCATGGTCGTCCTACGGTGGAATTGTATGCGGTGGCCTAGTCCATAATGTGGAACGTTGTATCTAGAGTTATGCCACCTGCCAAGATAGGGAGTGTAATTTCACCCGAAGTCCATTCAACTGCATTATTAAAACCCGTTTGTGTGATGCGGCATGGCACTACCTTGTCTTTGAGTCTCATCTGGGTGAGAACTCGGGGATGGATAATGCACGCTCCACTTCCATCATCTACCATGATATGTTTGACATCAGTATCTAAAGTTCGTAAAGTAAAGATAAGAGCATAATTGTAATGGAAAGTCAAACCGTCGGCATCTAACTCATCGAAGATGATACTTTTTTCGAATCGGTCAAACCGTTCATGCGTGATAGATCTTTTGAGCTTGTGACTAGCAGTGAATTTAACGTCGTTGATGGAGGTATCATCATTGTCTCCAATGATCATAATGATGGTGTGAGCCAGTGACGGTGGCTTCGGTGGGCCTTGACGTTCGCGACCTCTCGCAAAGTTATTTCTCCCCTTGTCACTCAGCAGCTTTTTGAGGTGTCCTTGATACGGTATGTTCACAACCTCTTGCCTAAGGGTGATGTAGTCCTCTTTTGTGTGTCTGCGTTCCTGGTGAAACTCGTAGAGGGTGTCAAATTTTCTTATGCTCGGATCGAGCCTCATCTTTAGCGGTCACTTCACCTTCGTTCCGAGTTTGTCCCGGGAATAGAATATTTCTATAGGTCACACACAAAAATTGTAAGCAGATAGTAAAGGGGCATGCCTCTTTCATTCGCGTGAGTCCCCGTACTTGGCCTGGACGAGCCATCATCGTAGCGGAAGGAAGATGGGTAGGGGGCCTTGATGTATGGCTGGTGTCGTTTACTGTTTGGTCCTGAGACCAGTGATCGCTTCATTCTTTCCTAGATTTGGCTTGTATCAAGACGAGCCACCGAGTTGGTACGTTGAGGTCGTCATCATCTGCTCGGACTTCGGCACAGTAAGCATTATGGATTTCATCCTAAGTGGTTGGAGGATACTTCATTAGTCGGTTCAGTAATTTTCTAGTTTCTCTTGAACCCTCTCTACTCAACCCATTCTGAAAGGCCACGACTGACATCCCTTCGAACACATTTGGTAGGGTCATCCTTACCCTGTTGAATCGGATGAGGAAGTCCCTCAGTCCCTCTCCTAAGGACTGTTTGATGGCAAAGATATCGTTTACTCTTGTTTCGGCTTTTATGGCCTCGGCATACGTCGTTATGAACTTATCGGTCATTTCTTTAAAGGTTTATCTGGAGCGAGCTGGTAGCTGTGAGTACCATGTTAATGTCCCTCCTATATGGGTTTTGCCAAATTTCTTTAGCAGCGGGAGTGACATAATGAGTCACGTGATCTTCGAGGTCAGTCATTCCGTCGTATATCCTGAGATACGGCAGAATTTTGAAGGTATTTGGTATGGCATGCAGGGCTGCTTCCTCGCTATGCGACTTCTCTACAAATCTATCGGCGTCTTGATAACTAGGGATTATTATGCAATTTATACTCCTTGTTGCTTAAGTTTTGATTAGAAATGTGTACAAAATAGTCCCAAAGGCTCACATGTTGTACTTGCTTGCAGGGTTTGGTCAACAAGGTGACAATTTGTCAAAAATCAGCTCAAAAAGGAGTGAAACATGCACAAGTACCAAGAACAAGGCCAAGCTCAGTCTAACAGGATCAGTGCGACCGCACACCATTCTATGTGGTCCGCAAAGATAAAGTTCAGAGAGCAAGCAATTCAAGCAGCTAGGAAATGCGACCGTAGAGTATTTTGTGCGGACCGCATTGACTTCATTGCGGTCGCACTCAACTTTATGCGGTCCGAAAAGCTCAAGTTCATAGAGGTGCTATTTTGGAGGAACCTGGCCAATGCAGTTTGCGGTCCATTTTATGCGGACCACAATAGAAGCCACCGCGGCCGCAGAGCATTTTGTGCGGTCCGCGGTGGGCAACTTCAGAGAGCAGATTATTTAGCCAAGAGCCTTAGTGCAGCCGCACATGATTTTGTGCGGTCCGCACTAGCCCCGCAGGGGTATTTTTAGCCTAGTATAAATAGTTTCTTTTTCCATTTTTGGGTCATCAATTGTATTTTGAGACAGAGTTGTGCTCGTGAACACTTCTTCTTTTCCATTTTGAGTAATTTTAGTTTCATTGCATCATTGAATCTTCAAGTTTTATCTAGTAATTAATTATTATGGGCTTTTCTTCATCTATTTCTTTGTTTTCTTCCATAATCATGAGTAGCTAGACCCATTAGCTAGGGTTGTCGCTCAACCCTAGTATGGGTAATTGATGGGTCTTGTATTTTAATGCTTGATTGTCTATGGGTGTTTGATATTTGGACTACTTTAGGGTTTTAATGTTGAATTAGTGGTTGAAAATACTAGTTTATGCCTAGTTGACTTTGGCTCTTCTTGAAAAAGAGGGCCTAAGTTTATGAAATTGGTCCAACAAGGAATTGGGGCGTATTCAAGAGATTGATAGCCCCAATTAAAGGGTTAAACCTAGAGATAGTAATACCCGACTTGAACCTCAATTGCTTGCACAAATTGACGTACCCAATTGGTCTTGAGAAAGTCAATTCGGGCAAAATCACTCGAACTACCGAGAGGTATAGAGAGAGTAGAATCATGCAATGGTTATATCATACTCCCCTAATGTGACAATCTAGCCTTAGACTCAAGAATCCGTCAATTAACCACCTAGGAGAAAGTCACTACCGTAGTGCCTTTTATCTATTTGAACAACTTCCAATAGTTTAATCCTAGCTTTACTTAGCCTAATTTAGCATTTTAGTAGTATAAAATTAGAAGTAAAATCAAAAGCAACAATGTTTTGAAGTGCAATTAGGAACAATTACGCAACACCAATTTAGATCAAAACTCAACTCCAATCTCTAGCTCCCTATGGAAATCGATCCCGTCCTTCTTGGGTAAAAGCTGCTTCGACCTCTCTTGCTACTTTATAGTAGTACAGGGTTGGCCTAGATCACTTTTTAGCGCTGTTGCTGGGGAGCTAACGGTTTTGGCTATCTATCTAAATAGTTTTGTGTATTGTTCTTCTTTCCTTCTATGTTACTAATTTGTGTGTGTCACAACTTCAGGTACTAAACGACAACAAACAACGCACCTCTTGGAGATATTTTGCCGGGTGAGGATGTAGATGACAATATCGATGATAAGGTCCCTGTGGTACCTCAAGCTCAAAGGAGAGGCTGACAGGCCAATGACAATATTCCAGACCCTCCCCCGCCACCTCCAAGAGTGGCTCCTCGAGTGCTTCCAAACCAAGGCTATGCAAGTGCAATTGTCCCATCCCGGATTCGGGCGGGTAATTTTCAAATTACCAATGTGATGCTGACATTGCTGGAGAAAGTCACGGGTGCTGCCAATCAAAATGCTTACAAACATCTCAAGGGTTTTGTGGATACTTGTTGGGGGAGCAATCAAACTAATGTGTCTGAGGATGCACTTCAGTTAAGACTTTTTCCATTCTCACTTAGAAGGAAGGCATTGGATTGGCTCGAGCGACTTCCCAACCATTCTATCACTACTTGGGATGAGTTGGCGGACAAGTTCATTGCAAAATTTTTCTCACCGGGGAATATGGCAGCATTGAGAGATGAGATCTTGGCTTTCAAGTAGGAGCCCACTGAACCATTGCATGAGATTTGGGAGTGCTATAGAACAATGGTAAAGGAATGCCCCAACAATTATATGACTGAGGCGATGATCCAACAGACTTTCTACCAGGGCATTAACATAACAAACTAATGCATAGTAAACCAACTTGTTGGGAGAAACTTCATGAAGCTGTCTTATGATGAGGCTTGTGATATTCTTGATGAGATGGCTGACACTTCTTCTGCTTGGCAAAGTAGAGCCAATGTGCCCTAGGGTGACCCCACGGTCACTCATTTGCACAAAGAGTTACATGATCATGGGCAGGCTATAGCTGAGTTGACAACTACGATGAACCAACTAGCAAAGGCACAGTTGCAACAAGTTCAAAAACCTCGCCAAGTGAATGCCATGGAGGGTGTCAACATGCTCGTCAACAAAAGAACACAAAGTGGTCAACAGAACCAAGGGAATTCAGAGTAATTTGACAATGATTGTGGTGGATTCCATGATGATAGTTATGATGGGCAGAATGAAGAGGTGCAATACGTGAACAATTATCAAGGCCAAAGGGGCAATTCTTCCAACCAATAACAATGGAGACCCCAAGGCAATTGGGGCAATCACCAACAACAAGGCAATGGTAACTGGGGGAACAACAACCAAAACTCTAACTAGGGCAATCAGAACAATAATCAGAACAATCAAGGTAATTGGAATGGGGACAATAACAATTGGGGTGGTAATAACAATCAAGGTGGGTGGAACAATGGCAATCAAGGAAATCGGGGGCAAGGCTTTCAAAGGCCCCCAATGTACCAACAACCAAACAATTCGCTTTCATTTCCATCTCAAGGTCATAGTTATTCTAACAATGACATGGGGAGAATTGAAATGATGTTTGAATAGATGATGAAAAAGAGTGCGGATTTCTGATGCTCAATTGTCTTCCCACAATACTTCAATTAGAAATTTAGAGGTTCAGTTAGGCCAAATCTCACAGTCCTTGAATGTTCTCCCTAAGGGGGCTCTACCAAGTGATAAGTTGGTAAACCCGAGGGTGGTAACAATCATGTTATGGCAGTAACTATAAGGAGTGGACGAGGTGGTGATGTGAATGCCTCCAAATAAAAGCAAATTTTGGGTGATGATGTTGAGTTGCAAGAAGATGAAGTTCCTTTGCTGGTTAAAAATGTGATTGATGAGAATATAAATGAAGAAGTGAGGATTGATATTCAAGATGCCGAGGTGAAAACTCAAAATGATGTGAACCCGTCTAGGGAACACGTAATAGACATGCCGAAGCCGGTTGTGCCTAAATCCAGGGGTCCTTTACCAAGGCCACCTCCACCTTATCCTCAAAGGCTCGCGAAATAGAAAAATGAGAATCAGTTTAAAAAGTTCATTGATATGATGAAGAGCTTATCCATCAATGTGCCTTTGGTGGAGGCTCTTGAACAAATGTTGGGCTATGCTAAATTCATGAAGGACTTGGTGACAAAGAAATGATCCATGGATTGTGAAACTGTAAAGATGACCCACCAAGTTAGTGCAATAGTGCATTCAATAGCCCCGAAGCTTGAAGATCCCAGTGCTTTTACCGTTCCTTGTACCATTGGGAGTGCGGACTTTGCTAAGGCTCTACGTGATTTGGGGGCAAGTATCAACTTGATGCCCTACTCGGTTTTCAAGACTTTGGGTATTGGGCAACCGAGGCCGACTTCCATGAGATTGCAAATGGCGGATAGAACGATGAAGAGACCATTGGGTATTAATGATGATGTGTTTGTCCGGGTGGATAAATTTATCTTGCCAGCTGATTTTGTGATCTTGGATTGTGAGTGGATTACGAAGTTCCAATCATATTGGGGAGACTTTTCCTTGCTACTAGGAAGGCCTTAGTTGATGTGGAAGTAGGGGAACTCACCTTCCGGTGGGTGATGAAAAAATAGTATTTCATGTGTGCAAGTCAATGAAGCAACCCAACAGTTCCGAGGTGTGCTCTTTTGTGGACCTTGTCAC